AACACGTTGTTCCCCCACCTACATGGCAGCCGCACACTCATAGAAATCCATATTGTTGATCAGTCTACAAAGGGATGGGGATCGTTCACCATGTGTACTGTTCAAACTCAACTAGTAAAGTCGCTGTACATAACGGCATTTATCCGGGATGAACTCACTGATTACGTACTAGTAGTTTGTTGTGATGCAAAACTTGGCCAGGCACGTACCTCCTCTTGACCTCTGATTGTCTTTCGCGTTGGGGGGAGAGGACATGTTTTTCTCTCGCAAAGAAATGATATCACCCTGTGCGCTGTAGTTCCTGTGTGTAATACGAGCCCGTCACCTCGGAGGCTAGTGTTCCAAGACCCACATGATATCTTGCCACCCTAGAGAAACCCAGCTTTCTTTTATTATCTATCTCACGTGGATAATAGTCTGAAACTCTGAATGTCTTTTCACGTGAAGCAAGTTACACGGCTAGGTTGGCATATTGATCGTAAAAATCCCCTTGTCTTTGTAATTTTATTTTGACCTAAATGTTTGTTTGTTTTAATCATTTTTTGTATCCTTAATGCATCATTCTCAAAATAGTTCTGCTAGGCATTCAAGGATACGTATAAAACAAGCTCGTTTCCGAAACCTCTCATTGAACACATTGTCGTTCCCCCCGGATCTATATTTCAAAGCGTAACCGTCCCTACTAAATTGGCGTTGTGAAAACACCTCCGTACCCCCACCACCCACCCAACGTATAATGAAGAGTCCCGAGGCCTTACCGCTTCAGTTCTCATTAGGCCATGTTGATTTGATTATATGCATGACATCCTCAGGGAACACCAAAACTGAGCGTGCAAATAAAAAAAGCTTGGCCAAAAAAAAATTCCTTTATTATGAAATCTTCGTGGTCATAATGCTTGAACAAATGACTAAACACACAGAACATGGTATGGCGAATAATACTTTTTTTTATAGTAGACTCTTCGTTTTCATTTCTTCACATTTTCTTCTTTTCCTGAATTGACTTCGGTATTCTATGACCTTAGCATCGTTTTCCAATACTTTTTTTGCAACATTCGAAATATATTCTCTCATTTTCTACGAATTACAGTATTTTTTTTAGTATTTTTTTTAGAAACCTACGAAAATTCATGCGCGCCTGGATGTCATCCATATAATGACTTGACATGGCCTTAATGATAAACATAGGATTTTTGACTGGCTCAGAATCTACCAATTAACTTGAAATCCAGACGCGAGAAAGAAGTTTTAGTTCACCGACCGCATTGTTTTGCCGATACTTTATGCTTGTGTTTAATGGCAAGATAATGAGAACTCTATATAATCTATCACGTCTAGATCAAACTGGAGTTGGGCCCGCCCACGAAGCTTGCAGTGAGAAACTTTGACACTGAGGCGACTTCTGCGGCCCCCCGGGTCCAGAACGGCGTTCCTGGAATGTTGGATGAAGGCTATTAGGTTTCCCCTGGCACGGGCCAGGTCCTGTACGTGGAGAGGACCACGGTCGGTACGTCAGAAAACGATGGCCATTTTCCCCAGATCTCTGTAGTGTGTACCTAGATAAATTTCACGGCTTCTTATTATTAGCTCTTGCAGCTGATTGAACAAAAAAACAAATAGGAATAAGAATATAGTTATGGTTAATAGATTACATCGTTAAAATTCGACGGCATTCATGATTGTCGCGATTCTTTTGATATTTCAGTTTTTTTTTCGAATCGGAGAACTTGCCTCTGCGCAGAGCTTTGTCTCAAAACATTATACATGTAGGCACGGACGTCCGCACAGCAATATTGTTTGACCCTACTGTGCTAATTATCTGCTGTAAGAAGAGACCGACACCAGACAGGGTAGGTTTCAGTGTGATTTCTCGTTTTTACAGAAGGCTCCTCCGTGACCGAAACAACAACACTTGCACCAGAAGAGGCAGACAGTGGCGTGGTCAAGCGGCATTTTGTCGGTAAGTTGTACCGTCTTATTTTACTACCACATTGCAACATGTGGGGATGAGTTTATGTAATATTTACAGATAAGTGTACTAATTAAGGCCGACTTTAGACTGACGACGGTATACGATCGCACGACAATCGTTGTGTGCGACGGCTGACTTTAGACACATGACCAGGAAGTGTGACGGACGTCCCGCAGCGCAGGATGGCACGCCGCGCGCCAATTCAAAATGGCGAGAGAACCCCTTTTTTTCGGCATGCTGCAGAAGATTGTTTTTATTCTGCTTTTAACTCGTTGTTCTGTGGATGAGACTCCTAGTTTGTGCCCTGTTTGGCATGAGGCACATGTACCAAGCGGGGCAATATACTCCGGGTTTGAACCCGGCGTTCAGTGCTGCCGTCGGCCTGGCTATATTGGCCGGGAAATGTGGATCGGCGGATCGGTTCGTACCGGAGAAGTAGCGATTGGTGGCAGGGGATTGTACTAGACACGTATGACGATATAAAGTCTTTGGTTTGACGGCATTTAATGATACTGGCGATGTGCTTAGACATGAAATAACGCTTGCAGGCTTATTTGCATAAGGCCAATGACCTCCCACTTCCTTCGCCGGCGACGGTTCACTTTAGACGGTGGAAAATCATCCTCGGACCCCCCGCTGAAGGATCGCACGATAGGGTCCGAGGTGGTAGTGACGACGATTCGAGGATTACCGTCGTGCGACTATTTTGATCGTGTTTAGACGGCTGTAAAATACCGTCGCCGGCAACATCTTGACGATAAACATTCGTACGACTATTTAACCGTCGTCAGTCTAAAGTGCCTATAAGTTATGTTGTATTTTGTTTGTAGGGAAGTTCGAGATACCGGTGGACAGAACGGTCTCCCCGCATTTGGCGGTTGTTAGCTAGTTGTTGAGCTTTTGTTGGAAGAAAGTAATTTATAGGGTCGGCTTGTGTTTAAGTTTTGCCGACTAGTACTGTTACCTGTTACCTATTCTAGGGCCAGCCGCTGACGGGCGGCAAGGTAATGTCCATGAAGGGTGACAGCTGTGGTCACATACTTACAGTGTTGAGTTTGTTTTTATTTTAGATCTTGTTTTACTAACTACTGAGATTGATAAAATATTTACACCGTGTATAGTCGGCACACGAGCCGACGCAGGCGCGAAGGTGAGCGGCAGTAAACGCGAGAGTTCAAGAGTAATTTCTCTCTTTTACGTATCTTAAACTAATGTTGCCATCTTTTATTTTCTTCGTATTTAGAGCACAAGTAATACCTGAACATATTGTGAACCTGTGAAAGTGGCGAATAGTGGCATCTTTACATTTTAAATCAATTCAGACCGTTTGTAACGGCCTCGTGTCGAGTGGGGGCGACTAGACCGCCTACGTGGGGAGGGCAACGATAGTGTTTTTATTGGGCGGCGTATCATTATATTTTGTCAACCAGGTAATATAAGAAACAGACTATATGTTCGCACATTTATTTGTGGATTTCTTACACCTGTATCTGTGGACTCTGAAATTAGATTTACACATGTTGGCGTAGTGTATAACTCGATAATTGAAATAAAGACATAACATTTTGTGAGTTACCTTTTGTTTCTTTAGAAGACTCTTAAGGACATTTTGACTGTTATCTGTTTTGATTATTTAGATTAACAGTTTCTTTACTGATTAAGAGTGTCGGAGAGGTACTTGAAACGCCTGACAATAAAACCCAGTAGTACAGGTTGAAGAACTATTTTATTAGTGTAATGGTTAGGATTCTAAAATAACTCTGATTGTCACTCCCCATCTCTATTCAAATGACTCAGAGTTCCCTGTCTTGAGTCATCTGAATCAAAGCTCCCCGTCTTGAGTCATCTGACTCAAAGTTTCCTGTCTTGAGTCATCTGACTCAAAGTTTACTGTCTTGAGTCATCTGACTCAAGAGCTCCCTGTCTTGAGTCGTCTGACTCAAAGCTCCCTGTCTTGAGTCGTCTGACTCAAAGTTTCCTGTCTTGAGTCATCTGACTCAAAGCTCCCTGTCTTGAGTCGTCTGACTCAAAGTTTTCTGTCTTGAGTCATCTGACTCAAAGCTCCCTGTCTTGAGTCATCTGACTCAAGAGCTCTCTGTCTTGAGTCATCTGACTCAAGAGCTCCCTGTCTTGAGTCATCTGACTCAAAGTCCATGTATCTTTGCCTTCCAATTCCGGAACTCCACCCTACTTGGCTGAATAATCAAAACTCTGTGTGAGTCATTTGACTCAATATGTCCTGAATATCTAGATATAAGTTTCTGGGATTCCTTAATAACCAGCCAAAATCACTGCGATTTAGCTAAATTGGGAACTTCATTTTCTAAT